GAAGCGATAAATTCTACAGATGGTAAAAACTGGAGGTTAGCAATAGAAGATGAATTAGTGGCCCAAATCTTAAATGGAACTTGGGAAATAACGGAAAGACCTGAAAATAGAAAAGTTATTGGCAACAGATTTGTTTTACGAACCAAAGCGAGCAACAAAAGGAAGGCTCGTCTAGTGGCGAAGGGATGCTCCCAACGTCCAGGGGAGGATTTTACTGACACCTATTCGCCAGTCGCCAGATCATCAACAATTCGACTAATAGCAGCTTTAGCAGTAGAAAATAATCTTGAAATGTGTCAAATGGATTTTGTAACTGCCTATTTGAATGGAGATCTGAGCGAAAGCGTATATATGGAAATACCGGAGTATTTAGAGGAATTGCTGGAAAAACTAATAAAAGGTGAAACGTTGGGAACATGTAAGAAGAAAAGTGATGTAGCTAAAAGGGCTGCACAACAGTGGATTAAAAATTGGAGAATGTGTAAAGATCCTGTATGTAAGCTTGTGAAGGCGTTATATGGACTCAGACAATCGGGACTAAAATGGTACCAAAAGTTAGGTACAAAATTGGAAGAATTAGGATTAGTTCCTTCTGAGGTAGATCCATGTTTGTTTATCAGTAGAAATGGGAAACGAGTAACTTTAGTTACTGTATATGTGGATGACCTGCTGATAGCATCAAATGACAAGGAGATGACAAACTATATAAAGAAGTCGTTGGCAGAAACATTTGAAATGAAAGATCTGGGAAAAGTCAATAAATATATAGGAATTGAATTTAATCACGATTTGAAAAGGGGCGAAATTACAATGAAGCAACGGGAATATATAGAATCAATTCTGAAACGATTTGGTATGGAAAATTGTAAATCGGCAAATACACCTTTGGAACCGCAAAGTAAATTAGAAAAACCTTCACAACCTGATTTAGAGATAATGCAAAAAATCCCCTATCAAAATTTAATTGGAGCACTTATGTATTTGGCGGTGAATACAAGACCAGATATTGCATATTCTGTGAATTTTTTAAGTCAATTTAATTCGAACTATGGGACTGAACATTGGCAAGCTGCAAAGCGAATATTACGATATCTTAAAGGAACAATTGATGAAGGCCTGAAATACACTAAAAGTGATTTACCATTGTATGGAGTTGTAGATACCGACTGGGGATCGAATTTATCCGATAGACGCTCTTATTCAGGATTTGCGTTCATTATGTCAGCAGGAGCAATTACCTGGGAAGCTAGAAAGCAAAGGACAGTGGCTTTATCGAGTACGGAAGCTGAACTATTGGCTATAACAGATGCTGTAAAAGAAGCACTATATCTTCAACGTATTTTAAAAGAAATCGGAGTAGCAACAATACCAGTTCAAATTTTCAACGATAGTCAGAGTGCTCAAAAGTTAATTCAAAGCATTGGATACCACTCGCGAACAAAACACATCGATGTCCGATATCAATTTATACATCAAAAACAAAATGAAGGACATGTCAAATTGGAATATAAGAGAACAGAAGATATGGCAGCAGATGTACTTACGAAAGGGTTGTCATCAACAAAGCATCGAAAATGCATACACGAACTTGGAGTAACTGGAGGAGTATGAGACGACGCACTTCGAGGGGAGGTGTTGAAATAAACGAAGTACTTTGTCTTATAAGTAGTATTTTAATTTTCAATCATGTTAGCCTTTATACATGTGAGCTTTTCTTGAATTGTCATTTTCGACGCATACATATTTTCGTTTTGTTATACATAATTTTCATTGTAACAAGTTAGTCTGCATTAAACGTTTACTGAATTAACAACATAAACTTTACACACGCTATTTGGTATGATGCACTGTTTAAAATTGATTATATATTTTCGTCCCATTTACCTTAAATCGGACGGAACTATATATGGGAGCTATATCTAAATCTGAACCCATTTTCATGAAACTTAGCACACATCATTCTAGACTCAATTCATTACACTATGCCAATTTTCGTGCAAATCGAAGGATATATAGGGACTTTGGTGCACCATTTACCTTAAATCGGTCAAAAATATATATGGGAGCTATATCTAAATCTGAACCGATTTTCACGAAATTAAACGCACACCACTCTAGACTTAATTTAGTATGCTATGCCAAATTTCGTGCAAATCGATGAATATGAATGGACTTTGGTGCCCCATTTAACTTAAATCGGACGAAAATATATATGGGAGCTATATCTAAATCTGACCCGATTTTCTCAAAAATTGACACACGCCATACTAGACTTCATTCAGTACACTGTGCAAAATTTCGTGCAAATCGAAAGATATATAGGGACTATGGTGCACCATTTACATAAAATCGGACGAAACTTTATATGGGAACTGTATCTAAAACTGACCCGATTCTCAGGAAAGTTAACACACATCATTCTAGACCTAATTGATTACACTATACCAAATTTCGTGGAAATCAAAAGATATACATATAAGGACTTTGGTGCACCATTTACATTAAATCGGTCAAATATATATGGGAGCTATATCTTAATCTGAACCGATTTTCACGAAATATAACACACATCACTCCAGGCTAAATTTAGTACGCTATGCCAATATTCGTGCAAATCGAAGGATATATAGGGACTTTGGTACACCATTTACCTAAAATCGGACGAAATATATATGGTAGCTATATCTAAATCTGAACCGATTTTTATGAAATTTAACACACATGACTCTAGACTTAATTTAGTACGCTATGCCAAATTTCGTGCAAATCGAATGATATATAGGGACTTTGGTGCCTTATTTACCTTAAATCGTACGAAAATATATGTGGGAGCTATATGTAAATCTGAACCGATTTTCTCGAAACTTGACACACGTCATTCTAGACTGCATTCCGTACGCTATGCCAAATTTCGTGCAAATCGAATGATATATAGGGACTTTGGTGCACCATTCACCTTAAATCGGTCGAAAATATATATGGGAGATATATCTAAATCTGAACCGATATTCCTGAACTGCAGCATTCATCATTCTAGACTCATTTCAGTACGCTATGCCAAATTTCGTGCAAATCGATGGATATCATTTACCTAAAATCGGACGAAAATATATATGGGAGCTATATCTGAATCTGAACCGATTTTCTTCAATTTCTATAGGGTTCGTTCTTGGGCCAAAAAAAATGAGCTGTGCCAAATTTCATCCACATCACATAATAAATGCGACCTGTACTTTGTCTACAATTTAACATCTACAGACGGACGGACATGTATAAATCGACTCAGAAAGTGATTCTATGCATATTCTCTAAAGGAACCATGTGTCTATCTCGTTTTCTTTTGCCTGTTACAAACACATGCACAAAGACTTAATACCCTGTACCACAGAGTGGTGAAGGGTATAAAAATAGTCCTTCTCTAGGTGATAGGTATTTTAATTACCATAATTTTGACCATCAATTAAATTTCAATACTCCAGGGGCAGGATATAAAAAGTCATTATAGGATTATATAAAAATAAACATTTACACCTTGACATTAGCTCTCAACCCCCAAGATAAAGAAGCTGATTAAAACTACATTATGTTCATTATTGGAATAGGAAACACAATAGAAGTTGAAAATAAAAAAGCTAAAACAAATTTACGCAAATAACGATTTTCCACGAACAGAGGATATAATGCTCTCGCAATTAGCTGATAACGAACGTGTGATTAAAAAACGGAATGGATTTTCCGCAAAACTCGTTAGTTAATTAAAAAGGAACATTGAAAAGGGGGCGAAAAGAGAGGAAGGTAGCAATACACTATTAGAAAACCAGTGAGCGGAGCAGTATAGTCGGACGGGGCCGACCATACGATAGCCTACACAACTGCCACGGAACTCCATCTTTCTGTGGACGTTTATTTCGAGCCTGGGCAATATTTCGTGCACTCTTTTGACTGATTAGAGATCAACAGCACCTCTACCTTACACTGACATATTTTCCGAATATTCGCAATATTCACTACAGCCCTGCTAATTACTTATCCAGATTCCCTTCGGACGGGCGGACCAATATTTCGTGGCGTTACAAACTCTTGGGGCTGCACAAAGCTATAATACCCTGTGTAACGCCCAAAAGTCATGATCTTCGTTTTTGGGGTACATTATTATCTTCAATATAATTTTTATTTACTTTTTATATAAAACCAACAAGGAAATATTTTTGTTTGAAGAATTAATTTAAATATTAACGGTTACACCGGTCCCCTAGTGAAGATAGCTATCATTAAAATACCACGTTGGAACCCCTGGTGGCAAATGGCGGAACTACGCAAAACTGTCAGATTGGGATCAGCTGCTGTCATGAGAAAACAACAATAGATGACCAGCCAAAAAGGTATAAAAGGAGATGCATTTCACACAATCGGGATCAGTCTTCTGTTGATGGCTGGTGAGTCAAGTGTGATTGGGAGGAAGAAAAGGCGCGCAACCTTGGTTGAATTGAGTCTTAGTAAGCCAAACAATAAGCCTTGACTATTTGTGGTGACTGGACTGAACGCAGGGTCAAGTGAGGGCTGTAGCAATACTCCCTATTCTTCGGGCTGCGTTGACGACGACTGAACGCAGGGTCAAGTGAGGGTTGTAGCAATACTCCCTATTCTTCGGGCTGCGTTGACGACGACTGAACGCAGGGTCAAGTGAGGGTTGTAGCAATACTCCCTATTCTTCGGGCTGCGTTGACGGCGACTGAACGCAGGGTCAAGTGAGGGTTGTAGCAATACTCCCTATTCTTCGGGCTGCGTTGACGGCGACTGAACGCAGGGTCAAGTGAGGGTTGTAGAAATACTCCCTATTCTTCGGGCTGCGTTAACGGTGACTGACGTACTCATCGGGCTGCCGCTGTGCCAAAGCTGCCGCCACCCTACTCGCCGCCGACGTATTCATCGGGCTGCCGCTGTGCCAAAGCTGCCGCCACCCTATTCATCGGGCCGCCGCTGTGCCAAGCTGCCGCCACTACTACTCGCCGCTGACGTATTCATCGGGCCGCCGCTGTGCCAAAGCTGCCGCCACTACTACTCGCCGCTGACGTATTCATCGGGCCGCCGCTGTGCCAAAGCTGCCGCCACCCTATTCGTCGTTCGCGTATTCATCGGGCCGCCACTGTCCAAAGCTGCCGCCACTACTCGCCGCTGACGTATTCATCGGGCCGCCGCCGTGCCAAAGCTGCCGCCACTACTATTCGTCACCGGCATATTCATCGGGCCGCCACTGTGCAAAGCTGCCGCCACTACTGTTCGTCGCCTGCGTATTCATAGGGCTGCCGCTGTGCCAAAGCTGCCGCCACACTATTCGTCACCTGCGCATTCATCGGGCCGCCGCTGTGCCAAAGCTGCCGCCACTACTCGCCGCTGACGTATTCATCGGGCTGCCGCTGTGCCAAAGCTGTCGCCACTACTATTCATCACCTGCGTATTCATCGGGCTGCCGCTGTGCCAAAGCTGCCGCCACCCTATTCGTCGTTCGCGTATTTATCGGGCCGCCACTGTCCAAAGCTGCCGCCACTACTCGCCGCTGACGTATTCATCGGGCCGCCGCTGTGCCAAAGCTGCCGCCACTACTATTAGTCACCTGCGTACTCATCGGGCTGCCGCTGTGCCAATGCTGCCACCACTGCTACCCGCTTACTCACATTTCGACTGAACTCTGTGATTTAGTGTTCTTCGTGTTTCTGAACGTGATATTATTGTGTTTAGTGTAGTGTTTAGTGTTATTTAAGGAAATAAATTTATAACGTTTTAATAAAACATTTTGCTTCGCTCTCTCTCTCTTTATGTCCTAACAAATAAATTCTTGTGACGACTCTGGCCCCCGCTGAACCTACCCTAGCTTCAAAGTGAAAACACGTCGTCACACCTGACAACATAGACAACATAAATATGGATTAAAAAATATAAGGGTCATCAAAAGGAGAACTACAAGGACTACTATGAGCTGTAGATTTTTAAAAATAGTTCCCAAGAAATTTAGCAAATTTTTTTTTTTTAAAGTCATCAAATAGCTTGGATTTTTTTTTAAAATATGTTTCCTATTTAAAAAAGTTTGCACTTTTTTAAATATTTGTTCATACAATTACCGATTTTTTTATCTTCTGTTGTACCTCTTTTTTAATTATTTTTCTTAAATTTAATATTCAGCACTTACCCAAATAAATCCGCCTCGCTGCCGGGAAAACTTATCCTTGGCGACAATGGTGAGCGTCCAGCTCTTTTCAGCATATCATGGAGACCAGGTGGAGCGTGGATGGGACTAAGAATGGTGATCTTACGATTTGGTGGTGCCAACAACCCACCCGACAATGTCAGCTGGGTACGCATACCAGCCGATGAAGCAGCCGATTTCATTTCAATTGTTTCGGCGGATTTCGATATTAAAATCGACGATGATTGATGGAGACCCATTTTACTTGTATTCACGGAGAGATGTTCAACATTACCACCCGCTGACGATTCGGAGATCACCGAACTGGGCTCATCAATTTGTGTTGATGCACTGCGTATACATTTGTCGGGTCGCGTACCCATCGAGACACCCACAGCCGCTTCCGAATGAGCCGAAGTGGAACGTACAAATTGTCGTACATGTTTTTGATGGGCCGTCAGGAATGCACCCGATGATGAGCTGGCCGGATGATCGGAGACATCTGGTTGCTGGAGAAAACTTTGAAATTTCGATTTGGTCGAAGTGGTCGATGAAGTTGAGGAGGTTTTTTGCATAAAACTTGAACGCTGTTCACTGGACATAATGGAGGTGCTTGATTGGGCCTTCAGCTGTTGACCCAATTGTATGGTGGCCAAGGTGTTGCCACAACCGCCACCACTAATTTGTATGGCCATTTCACCGGGTGCACCCGTCACCGATGACGATTGCAGACTTTGGCTACGGGCACTGGTCGTTATGGATTTTTGTGATGTAAAGACTTGTTGTTGTGTTTGTTGCGTTTTCTGCTGTAGCTGTTGGAGGGCACCACCTTGAGTCAGGATACTACCACCAATACCAATGCCACCACCCTCTTCCAATATGGAATTTGAAGCGGACGCTATGGAAAACGAACGACTGGCAATTTGACGAGACATTTGACTGACGACACGTCTCTGTTGCTGATGTTGTTGATGTTCGACCACAACTGTGGTTGTGGCTGTGGTCGGAACAACAACAACCGTGCCAGCATCGGATCCCAGTTCGGAACGTTCCTCATCAGCATCAGCTTCACTTGGCGTTGTAACGATATATTGTGGCGGTGAGGTATTCTGTTCGTTGGACGACATGTTTTGTTGTTGTTGTTTTTTTATTTCAAGACGTTATTGTTGTTGAGTTAGAGCTATTGATGTGTGTTTAATGATGTAGGTCGCGTATTTTGTAGGCTTTTTTTGTAATTTTTTGGTGATTTGCTTCTTTTATATAAAGTTTATAACAGTTAATATAACAGTATTTTTTTGCTTTTAGAGCAGCTTAGTTTTTGTTTGATGTTGAATTTGTAGTTGTTGTTGTTTTGTTATTTATAAAGTAACTTTCGTTGGTGATTTATAGGTAACTTTAGTTGTCTTTGTTTTATGGTCTTTTCTTTTTCGGTTTTTTTTTTGTTTTTTGTACACGGAACCAAGGTACCAAATATTTTTTTGAGGATTTCTTGTTGCTGTAACTTGTTTACGAACTTAATAGGTTGTAAATTATTGTTGCTTCAGAAACTAAAATTACAAAAACATATCTGCAAAAAAAAAAATAGTGGTTGGGGTCGGATTTATTTTTAATTGGAAAATTGTCTCTTTTATTTCCATTACCCAAACTGTGCATGCATCGATGTTGGCTATTTTCCACGTTATAATATATAATTTTGTTTTGAAACATTTTTCAACAACTATGTTTTTTTTTGAAAAAGTTTTTCACCGACTACCAATCGGCGTAAATTTTTTTACAACATATTTTTTTAAGGACTATCGAGAGGCGTAAATTTCTTATTTCTTAAAAATATTTTTCAGAACTATCAAAAGGCGTAGATTTTTTAATTTTTTTAAGGACTACCAATAGACGAAGATTTTTTTAAAATATAATACCAAGAAAATATTTTGTAAAAATAATTTGTAATGACTACAGAGAGGCGTGGGTTTTTAAAACATATTTTTTCAAGGACTATCGAGAGGCGCGGATTTTTTATAAGGATTTTTCAAGGATTATCGAAAGACGTATATTTATACCCTTCACCACACTGTGGTACAGGGTTTATGTCATTGTGCATATGTTTGTAAGAGGCAAAAGGAAACGAGATAGACGCATGGTTCCTTTACAGAATATGCATCGAATCACTTTCTAAGTCGATTTAAGCATGTCCGTCTGTCCATGTTAAACAGTAAACAAAGTACAGGTCACATTTATGATCGGAATTGGATGAAATGTGATACAGCTCATTTATTTGGCCAAAGGACAACCCCTATTTAAATTGGAAAAAAATCGGTTCAGATTTAGATATAGCTCCCATATATACTTTTGTCCGATTTAAGGTAAATGGTGCACCAAAGTACCTATATATCCTTCGAAATTTGGCGTAGAGTTTTGATTTACGTCTAGAACGATGTGTGTTAAGTTTCGTGAAAATCATTTCAGATTTAGCTATAGCTCTCATATATATTTTCGTCCGATTTTAGGTAAATAGAGCACCAAAGTCCCTATATATCTTTCGATTTGCACGAAGTTTGGCACAGCGTACTGAATTGAGCCTAGATTGACTTCTGCCAAGTTTCGTGAAAATCGGTCCAGATGTAGATATAGCTCCCATATATAAATTCTTCCGATTTAATGGAAATGGTGCACCAAAGTCCTTATATATCTTTCGATTTGCACGAAATTTGACACGACGTACTGTATTGAGCCTAGAGTGATGTCTGTTAAGTTTTGTGAAAATCGGTCCAGATTGAGATATAGCTCCCATATATATTTTCGTCCGTTTTATTATAAATGGTGCACCAAAGTCCCTATGTAACTTTCGATTTGCACGAAATTTGGCATAGAGTTTTGAATTAGGTCTAGAACGATGTGTGTTAAGTTTCGTGAAAATCGTTTCAAATTTAGATATAGCTCTCATATATATTTTCGTCCGATTTTAGGTAAATAGAGCACCAAAGTCCCTATATATCTTTCGATTTGCACGAAGTTTGGCACAGCGTACTGAATTGAGCCTAGATTGACTTCTGCCAAGTTTCGTGAAAATCGGTCCAGATGTAGATATAGCTCCCATATATAGATTCTTCCGATTTAATGGAAATGTTGCACCAAAGTCCCTATATATCTTTCGATTTGCACGAAATTTGGCACAGCGTACTGAATTGAGGCTAGAGTGACGTCTGCCAAGTTTCGAGAAAATGGGTCCAGATTTAGATATAGCTTCCATATATATTTTCGCCCGATTTTAGGTAAATAGAGTACCAAAGTCCCTATATATCCTTCGATTTGCACTAAATTTGGCATAGAGTACTGGATTAAGTCTAGAACGATGTGTGTTAAATTTCGTGAAAATCGGTTCAGATTTAGATATAGCTTCCATATATATTTTCGCCCGATTTAAAGTAAATAGAGCACCAAAGTCCCTATATATCCTTCGATTTGCACGAAATTTGGCATAGCGTACTGGATTTAGTCTGGAACCATGTGTATTAAATTTCGTGAAAATCGGTTCAGATTTAGATATAGCTTCCATATATATTTTCGCCCGATTTAAGGTAAATGGTGCACCAATGTACCTGTTTATCTTCCGATTTGGATGAAATTTGGCACAGCGCACCAAATTGAGTATGAAATGATGTGTGTTAAGTTTCGTGAAAATCGGTTCAGATTTGGATATATGTAAGTGATGTCCCAAGGACCCATTGCAATCAGCTCCTATATGTTTTTTCCTCCAATTTTAAGTAAATGATGCACCAAGTACCTAAAATATTGCCTTTATGGACAAAACGTGCTGAAATTAGTACAAACTAACCTGTGACAAGTTTCGTTGAAATCGGGTTAGATATAGCTTCTATTAACATGTTCGTCCGATGTTGAGTAAATGGTGCCCCAAATTCCTCAGATTTGTCAGAGTGACGCGAAATTTTGCAAAAATGCAGCCTTAGCCCATATATTCGACCGATTTTATGATCAAATAATCAAGTACTGTCCGATTGAGATTTGCTTTAAATCGATTTACATAATTTTGTCTCATTCCCTATCTATCCAAATGAAGAGTTTAATATAGTTTACCGAATGACATGTTTATGGATTGATCTATGTCGGTTCACATTTAGATATAGATAGATCAAATGTTTTTCATCTGATTTTATGGTATTTCGTAAATGCGACGTCTGTTAGAATGCATCTGTCGAATATACCCAAGTGGTGAAGGGTATCATATAGTCGGCCCCGTCCAAATTTATTACTTTCCTTACTGGTTTTTTAAATATATATTTTTCAAGGACTATCGAAAGGCGTGGAATTTAAAAAAAAAATATTTTTTCAAAGGGTCAGCAAAAGGCGTGG